CCGACGTCAAGAGGAGATCGGAACGCAACTCGAAGCGCTCGGCGAGTCACTCGGTGGCGATGACGACACTGGCGCTGCCACTGTCCAAGACATGTCCGCCCGCAAGCGCGAGATCGACGCACTCCGCCGACGCATCTCTGACCGCGAAAAACGCATCAAGACCATCGAGACCGAACTCGACCGAGCCACCCAATCCATTCAAGACGTACAGACCACTTACGACAAGACCAAAGCCGATCAAGCCGAAGACGCACGTAGCATTGCACGTCAGCAGAAAAACGTCGAGCGTTACCTCTCGAAACGCTCGCGTCTGTTGGAACAGCGCGATCGATGTAATCAGGATATTCGCGATTTGGGCGTTTTACCCGAAGAGGCGTTTGAAAAGTACATCAACACGCATGCCGATCGATTGCTCAAAAGCTTGCACAAGGTGAACGAGAGTCTGAAAAAATTCAGCCATGTCAATAAGAAGGCGGTCGAACAGTACAACTCGTTTACGAAGCAGAGGGATCAGTTGCTGGAGAGGAGGGGAGAGTTGGAGGCGAGTGGGGAGAGCATTCAGGAGTTGATTGATGTGTTGGATCAGAGGAAGGATGAGGCTATTGAGCGGACTTTTAAGCAGGTCAGTCGGTATTTCGAGGAGGTGTTTGAGAAGCTGGTGCCTGCGGGTAGGGGAAGGTTGATTATGCAGCGTCGTGCTGATCTTGCACCATCTGGTGCTGCGGCTGAAGAGTCGGAGGAAGAGCAGCAGGGGCAGGTGGAGAATTATACAGGTGTATCGATCAAAGTGTCGTTCAACTCGAAGCACGATGAAGGGTTACGGATCCAACAACTGTCTGGTGGTCAAAAATCGCTGGTTGCACTTGCGACTGTTTTCGCCATTCAGAAATGCGACCCGGCTCCCTTCTATCTCTTTGATGAGATCGATGCCAATTTGGATGCACTCTACAGAACCGCGGTGGCAAACATGATCAGAGAGTTGGCGGAAAATGCACAATTTATCACGACCACCTTCAGACCAGAAATGGTTCAGGTGGCAAAGAAACATTACGGTGTACTTTTCGATGTCAACAAGGTCAGTAGCATTAGGAGTATCAGTAGGGACGAGGCGCATGAATTTGTAGAGGCAGCGGCTACGACGGAGCCCCCTCGTTAGCAAAGGGGGAAGTAGGAAGAGGCGAGGTTTGAGTTCTTGGTGTACTGTTTTTTGTTTCTTTGTTGTTGTCAAGAAGTGTTGCAATTCGCAAAAAGATGTATAGATTCTTCTCAGAGAGCGGCGACGGCCAAGAGAAAATGTGTCTGATGAGAGGCTCTGAAAGTCAGAACTGGGCCAGGACGCACGAGCCAGGTTGGACCCTTGATTCCTCGAATTTTTACAGTACGTATAGTATGAAGCCTTCTTTGGTGTGGCTTTGGCTTTGAAGCACGCCATCGCCTCCCGCCTTCTCATTTCACTTTACCTTTTTGACCAACTCTCTTTCCACCATCCCATAACTGTCTTCTTCGATACTGGGATTGGCGTACAAGTGATTATCATCGAATCCATCAAGAGCATTCACGTAGCGTCTTAAGAGAGGGGGGAGGCAACAATGTCGCGAAGAAAAATCGAAATCGTCCTGAACCCAGCTTCAGGCTCGCATCTCTCTCAATCTCTGGTGGATCTACATATTAAGCCTTTATTGGTCTCGTTGAACCACTCCTCGGTTGATATTGAGATTCGTAGAACGGAAGGTGAGGGTGATGCGGTACGAATAGGACGCGAGATTCGACAAGAGTGGTTGTCTTCCAAGGTTCAAAATGGGGTAGTGGATATAGTGTTGGTTGGAGGCGATGGGACTACGCATGAGCTATTGAATGGGTTATACCTTCTTCTCTCACAAACATCTCGAACCGATCAGATGGAAGAGGAGGAGGAGGAGGAGGAGGAGGAGGAGGAGGAGAAGGGAAAGGTGGTGGTGAGATTGGCTCTAGTTCCTGGCGGGACAGCCAATGCGCTCTATTCAGCGTTGTATCCCAAGCTGTGGACTCAAGAGGTTCAACAGAGCGTTGCTTCGACCAAATCCATCCAGGATCTTTCTGATACCGTGATCAAGGTCATGCTCAAGAGTGTCTCTTCTCTCGCCGCATCTCTCTCTTCTACTGTCCAAAGCTCGACACAGGAGGAAATGTTGAGCGTCCTCCCGCTCATGATCAACACCCTAACCACTAACGAGGAGAGTAAGCAATTGCTTAGCCATCTAGTCACATCCCATGCGCTTCACGCAGCTATATTGCATGATGCAGATACACCTACCATGCGGGAACAGTATGCGGGTATTGAACGGTTTAAAATTGCCGCTCAACAGAATGCCACCAAGTGGGTGGATGGGATTCTTACCTTGCATCCTGCTCGAAACAAAGCCCAAGACGAAGGAGTGCTGAGGTATTGTCCCTCTTCGAAAGGGTTCCAACCATTTACAAGTGCAAAGGTGGAGCTGGAAGGACCTTTTTTATACCTCAATGCGATGCTGACGGATAGGTTGGAGAGTCGGTTTATTCCGGCTCCTCTTTCTTCGGCTTTTGGTGAGAATGATAATGGAGGGAGTTTGATAGAGGGAGTAGTTGATGTAATTGTTATTCGGCCGATGAGGGATCCTCAACTATCAAACAACCAAGAGGCAGGGGTAAAGTTTGCAATCACCAGATTGGGCGACATCACAACTGGCATGTATTCAGGAGGTACACATGTAAACTTGACTTATGGTCAAAAAAATCATGATGATGATACGGTGATGGTCGAATATTTCAGATGTTCAGGGTACGATTTTATTCCCTCGATAAAGAAAAAGGGTAACGGGGAGGAGGATAAGGCGAGACTGGTCTGTACCGATGGATATATATCGTTTGCTGATCGGGTGAGTGTTAGGAGATGGACGATGGGGGATAATGGGGATGGGAAGATGGTTCCTCCTCTCATCTGGCGCTAATCAACACGCTTATTGCGATTCCATTGTCGAGCCTCGCCTTGCATATGTTTCTGTGCCTGGAAGTATGTGTGCAGCATGTTTCTACTGGAAGCATTGGTGGACGGAGGAAGTATAGGTTGCGTGTGTGTGTGTGTGTCGTCCGACTCGAAATCGACCCGATGTAATTTTGGATGAAATCGCGATTGCAAGGGAATGAGGAAAATGATATGCATACAATATCATGCGGTCCACACGTCTCTTGTTTCAAAGATGCCACGACACATTCCCGGCGACATTCTAAAAAAGAATTTAAAGAATTTAAACTTACATTCATCCACGTATACAGTACACACGTATGCACATCTCCGCGTCGTTGGTGCAGCTGGCAAAAAGACCAACGCAACCCACGCACGCGCCTTGTCTCTAATTTTGTGAAATTCTCGTGCGATTTCCCGGCCAGTCTCAAGTGGGTGGTGTTTGCTGTTGAGGAAGCACTGTCCAGCAAGCAAAGGAAAATCCAACCAACAAGACAAAGCTTCTCACGACTCCACCTTCTTCACCTTTACCATCATCATCACCACTTTATATTTATACATCCGAGAGAAGGGATACAACCACACACACACACACACACACACACGCACACTTTTGGGCAAGATGAACATCTTTCGTTTGGCAGGTGACTTTGCTCATCTTGCTTCGATTTTCATCCTTCTTCACAAAATCCAACTCTCGAAATCATGTCGCGGAATCTCGTTCAAGACTCAACTTCTTTATACGGTGGTTTTCGTTTCACGATATTTGGATCTTTTCCATGAAAACTCGCTGTATCGATTCGTTATGAAACTCTTCTTTATCGGTTCTAGCGTTTATGTGCTGTATTTGATGAAGGTCAAATTCAGACCTACACATGATCCTGCTATTGATACCATCAGGTTGGAGTATCTTATGGGCCCTTGCTTCGCCTTGGCTCTTCTGTTTCATTATCACTTTGATTTCACAGAAATCATGTGGACTTTCAGTATCTACTTGGAGGCAGTCGCCATTCTACCCCAGCTTTTCATGCTGCAGAGAACAGGAGAGGCAGAGGCAATCACAACACATTACATCTTTGCTCTCGGCGCTTATAGGGCTCTCTACATTCCCAATTGGTTGTATAGGTACGTAGACTTGACACGACCATCTTCCCAATTCACCATTTCACGTTGCAGTCAACTCGAATCTACACCGGATTTTTTGATTTTATTTTTTTTTCACGGAAAAGGTGGACCCCCCTTTGCTAACATGGCAACTTTGCTGTATCGATGAAACAAACAAAAACAAAAACAGGTACATTGCTCACAACGAAATCGACCCAATCTCGATCCTCTCCGGTCTGGTTCAAACGGGTCTCTACCTCGACTTTTTCTACGGTAAGTGCCCCTTTTTATCTGCACACAGTTTCACATGATGATGCAAAGAATCAAGTGCTGACACGTAAGATCATCACAATTCTGGCTTTGATCGGATCAGTCTACTTTACAAAAGTTATGAAGGGCGAAAAGTTTGAGTTGCCAGCATGAGCAGCTTCTCTTTTCTTTCTCTTTACTCTCTTTCTCGGCGCCGAGGTGCGGTCAGGATTGGACATTTTATTTTATATTTGGCCCAAAGCATACCAAGCGGTTGCCTCGAATGTAGCGCTGAGACGAAGCAAGAGAATCATAGAGAGAAAGAGAGAGAGAGAGAGAGGTACTTTGGGACAGATGTAGCAAGCGCGGATGTATGAGAGAATACATTGGTTTATGTTCTTGCTTTAACCTCAAAGTCAAGTTGAAGTAGCAAGGTCGTTTGATGATTTTTGTCCAACATTGACATCTGTTCCTAATTTTTTTTTCTAAAAAAAAAAAAAAAAAAAAGGTTAACGCTAAGAAGAAAATGATAACGTTATTCTACTGTATCTGTAAGACTATTGTTATGGCTCAAGATGTGTAAGAGTGTATGGTGGTGTGAAAGTTATTGGTGGTAGTATGGTGGTATATATGATAATGAAAAGAAAAAAGAAAAAGAAAAACAGAATGCTCCTTACCTGGGTCGAACAGGTGACCTCCCGATAACATCCACTGCAAACAGTGGCGACTTTAGAAAAACTGAATATTCTTCAGTCGGACGCTCGTACCAACTGAGCTAAAGAAGCACGTGATATCCATATCTCTAAGTATGATAAATATACCGTATACACACTGTTCAACGGAATTCCCTTTCCAATTACACTGTTGATGGAGCGGAATCATTGAAGCAAGCATGACAGAGGTGGACTCTGTGAAGTATGTTGTTGAATTGTAGTAGATAGGAAAGGGAGTTACATGAAAGATGGTGTGTTTGACACTAGAAAAGGCGTTTTTGGAGGAGCGAGAAAAAAAAAAAAAAAAAAAAAAAAAAGAAGAGGCTGAACGACGCCCCGCGCATAGTACAGTACCATACTGTTTGGTAGAATGGTATTTCACTGCATTGCGAAGGCAGAATCAAGAAAGAGAAGAAAGTTACGAGAATCAAACCAAAGAACAGAGCGTTGCAAAACAACTTTTTACACACAAACACAAATTAAATCAAGTAAGTTGATCCCAACTGAACATCGCTCTCCTATTCTTTTTTTGTTCATATTGTGATTGTGAGGCGTCAAGGTCGATGCGCCGTAAAGAGACCGATTGAGCAACAAGAACAAAAAAAAGGGGGGGAGAAAGTAAAGGGTGGAAAAAGAATATCTGAGCTCGCTAGCAAAAGGTACAGTACAAGTATGATGGTACTAACTAACCAAAAAATTAAGACAAAAGACATTAAGGCATAATCAAGTGGGTAACGTCCCCAGCTCTGCTTGCCAAACCGCTCTCGACCCGTCGCATAAGTTGCAAGAATCTCATTCCACCACCTCATCTATAAGTCATACAAACGGCTAGCCACACAACGACTCTCACAAAGTTTACATCTTATCTTTTTTTTTTTTTTTTTTTTTTTTTTACCATAGATATTTTTACACAGATTGATGAAACAAAAAAGAAAGGGGGAATGAGGCAAAGTTGTTTCATCGGAAAACATTCAACCTCCCTCTACTGCTGTTGCTGTTGCTGTTGCTGTTTGTGATGAACAGACAATTGGGCAAGGATTGCCAATCGTGCTTTATCTGTACCTATTTGGGATCGTGTACGTCTACGTTGTGCAAACCAAAGGAGAAAGTTGAGCATTACTATCCACCAAAGTCGATGAATGGAATCTCCACTTGATATCACAAAGAGAGGATCGGTAGGGGTCAAGCTTTCGATGGTGGAATTTGTAGGCATTGCTTGGGTAAGGGTCGAAGCCGATCCCGCTGGTGTTGTTGTCGAGGTTGGGTTTGGGGGAAACAGGGAAGCGTTTGGTGTGGAAGCAGTAGAAGCGAAGGGAGAAGCGGGAGGGAGAGAGTTAGATGGTGATGAAAAAGATGCGATTGTTGTAGGACGGGTAGCAGAAGCAGGAGTGGTATCGGTAGAAGTTGGAGTGGGGAAGAAATTCGTTTGTCTTCGAACGAGTTTCGTCATTGACTGAGTCGTCGTTGTTGTTATTATTGGTGACGGTGTTGTTGTTGGTGTAGCAGCAGGTGCATTGACATCTGTTAAAGAATGTCGTTCGTTGTCCGGTAGCTTGTCACTGGTCGCATTGACGCCAAAAGTTGGGACAGTTGAAGGTCTTGAGATGCTACCACTGCTCGAGTTGCCCGTCATCGAAGCAGAAGTCGTGGTGTTAACCAAGCTCGCACTTGAAGACGGCATCTGACTCAAAGTGAAATTGGCGTCAGGTAGAGCTACCGGAGCCACAACAGACGAAAGAGAGCTCGGAAAATTTCGTACTGGACCAGCTGCGAACTTGGAATTGAGCACAACGGCAACTGCAATCGTTCCAAGTGCGGACAGAAGTAGCAGTGGTACCATCAACCTTTTTGCTTTGCGAGAAAATCGAATCAGGGCCGGTGTCGGTTTGAGCCCGTTTTGGGTGGAAAGGCCCTGGGTTGTTACTGGCTCTGTGTAGCTCGGAGGGTCGGCGACTTTGACATCGGGATCGGAAGGGGGTGTGGCGTCGACCAGCGTCGCCGAGCTTTCGTTGGAAGGAAGGGCGTGGCTCGGTAGGCTGGGCTCGTCGGGCTTTCCTTGCAGCTTGATGGCCAAAGAGGGAAAGAGGGCATCAAGGTCAGAGCAAATGTGGATGATGAAAGACAAAAGATGAACAAGTGCAGAACTCGCAATCACGACGCCGATCCAAAGGGGCAGTCCGGTAGGCAGCGTCGCATTGCTAGAGGCCAATCCTGATATAGCGCTAGGAGCTGTACCTCCGGGAAAGAAGCTTGCCACACTTGGTGTTGATGCCGCAGCAACCGAGCCATTCGCTGAGGCATTGGCGTTCTTTATGCCAGCTGCAGAAGTCCCAGGCTGGGCTGCTTCCAGCGTCTTGGATGAGCCTGCAGTCGAATTGCTCGTAGGGAAGAGTTGCTCCAATTGGCTCTGGAAGATTGCCATAGAGTTGAGATGATGTGAATAATCAGGCTTGAGGGTCCAAGAGAGAGTTGTGCAGGAACTCGTTGTGGGTAAACTTGTGAGCCACGACTGAATGATCTGTTGCTGTGCCGTGCTCGAGTAATTGGCAGTCGAAGGCAGAGAACTGGCCGCCAAGTTGGGCAGACTTATACATGACGAAAGCGGACCAAAGGTGAGAAGAGTCACCATGGCGTCGTCATTCTTGAGCAATGTGTCCTGACCATTGGAAGTGGTATTGCTCGGAGCAGTGACATTGCTGACCATGTTGGTCACGGCAATGTTGCTCGAGTTAGCTGCCACGTTGGCGATTGGCAGGGTAGTGTTGGTACTGTTCGAAATGGTGGTGCTCATGTTGTTTGTTGTTGTGGTGGTGGTGGTGGTGGTGCTGACAGTAAATCAAGCTTGACGATGTGCAGGTTCAGGTCGGGAGAGAAGCTGCAAAAAGTCAGGGTCTCAAACTATGTTGTGGTGTCGGCAAGGAATGGGGTTGAAAGGGACGTCGCGGCGGCTGCTTGAAGGGCTGTACATCATTCTTCTACTCGAGCAAGCGGCTTTCGAAGGCTGTAAAAAATCAGATGCTGCGGGAGACAAAGGGAACAAGAGCTGAAGATAAGAAAAAGGTGCAAGCCCACGGGAAAGCTGTATGGCCGCTACAATCATGATTGACGCCGTCTGCAGCCAAGGCAGTGGAACTCGAGCCCGAGAGAGGTTGACAAAGGGAAGGAGAGTGCTTTTGACAGCGCAAGTAGTTACGGTATAGTTGGGCGTTGGAGTAACGTGAGTGTGTGGTGGGGAGGACGGACAAAGGGGAGGAAACACGTTTGGTGACGCGTTGAAAGGGTGCATACTGTATAGTGGGGTGAGAAAAAGGCTTTTGACACTCCTTTGTTCAACGCCTTTGCCAAGTTTTGACAAAAGGTCAGGGGCACTGTTGGTGCTATACGGGGACATTCGTGGTGTGAAACCGGCAGATAAGTCAGGATATAAGTAAGGAGGACGGAGATGGAGGATGTGAAGGAAAGGGCCTCCCTTGTCCAAGGCCCTCATTTCCCCCCCTCTCTCTCTCTCCTTTTTCCTCTCCTTCAAGACGTCTTGGAAGACATGTTGACCGCCATACGAAGTGGACCAGCGATCAAAGCCAAAGAACGTATTGTAGCATGGCTTCTAGTATTGCTTCATGCTCTGGTGCTCTCCATCTCGGTGCTATTGCTGCTCAGCCCAAATAGCGTGTTCAACCGTCAGAATGGATTTGCCAATGTCAGACTCAACATCAGTGCCATCCCTCTACCATCGCTTTTCGAAAAGATGACATCAAGCAATCTCACAGCGATACAATTATGATAAGCGATTTAAACCGATCAAGCCAGCACAAGCGCCGCTTTTGCGCCATCGCAGCCCATTCCGGTGAAATAATTTGTTTGAAATAATCTCATTTGTATATCTGCGTCGTTGAAGAATAGGTTTTGAGAGCACACAGCAATGTCTGGATATGATGCTGTGCAGTCTAGTGTCGAATTGGCGCCATGGCGAATGGTTGGTATGGAGTTGGCAGCGAGGTGGGGGAAAATCGCGGAAGTCGGCCACGGTCGCGTCAAATGCAAGCAATCACCTCTGCTCACTCACAATCATTACCACCATCACCTTCTCACGCAAACTTAGCTTCATCATGGCGCCCACCGCCACAGGCAACACCGCTTCCACCACCACTCCCTCCTCCTCCACAAACACCACCACTACCACCACCACAACCACCACCGCCCCCTCTGCACCTACCAGTCTCGAAGAAGCCAACCAACGCTATCAATCCGTCAAACTTGCCCTCCGAACCGGACTAGCCAACAAACGACTGATCGATCGATCTCTCATAGATCTCGAATCCCAAATCTACCTCTTTGAAGGCTCTTATCTCCAATCCACCTCTTCTTCCGGCGGAAACATTGTCAAAGGTTTCGATTCGTATCTCAAAAATAGTTCTTCTTCCTCATATTCTTCCAACACCGGCGGAAGTCGAGGCAACAACAATAACAACAGCAATACTGGACTAAATTTGGTGGATGTACCATTGGAAGATAGGATCTTTTCGTTGAGTAGTGCAACGTATGCGAAAAGTTTGGAGTTGAAGGCCAATGAAGCATTGGCAGAGGTAGAGGCAGGCGAGAGGGAAGGTTCGGTGGGTACTCCTAATAACAAGACAGGGACGGGCAAGAAAGGTGGTGCTGGTGGAGAGGAAGATACTCCATCGGCAACTGGGACGGGTGGCAAGAAGAGTAAGAAGGACAAAGAATCCACCTCTACTTTGACTGCAACTCCAGCAGGAGGAGGAGGAGGAGGAGGAGGGAAGGAAGGGACACTCAAGAAGAAAAAAGACAAAAATGACGCAGAAGCCAAAAGTAGTAAGGATAAAGAACGTAGTTCTACCCCAAACTTGAAAAGTACAGCAGGTGGTGGTGCGAAGAATACAGCTGCAGGAGCGGATGCCGGAAGCGCAAGTGGAACTCCTACAAAAAGTTCGGCTGGTGGTGGTAGTGGTGGTGGTGGCAAGGCAATGGGTACGACGATGGGGACAAAGTTGAAGAGGAAGAATACCGATGGTGTTGCTACGCCTGGTGGTAAGGTGTCAAAGAAGAAAAAG